GTTTTGTCCGTAGCATAATATGATGGTGAATATAAATTGTGCAATTAGTCATAGTGGTAGTAATGATAATAATAATAATAATAATGTTAAGAAATCATTCAAAGACAATTAGACTTAGGAATCCCCTTGTGTAGCCTCAAAGAATTACTTCACAAATGCACAATGAATGTTCACTTTGTCTCCAATAATTCTTACTACCGACAAGTGGATGGAATAGCTATGGGTTCACCATTAGGCCCAATATTAACTGACTTCTTTCTCTCAAAACTTGAAAACGGGAGATCGAAGGACATCATCAATTAGTTTGATACGTATTACCGATATGTCGATGATACATTTATCTTAGCTGATGGGAATGTTAACATGGACGAATTGTTACTGAAATTCAACAGAGTCCACCCTTCGCTTTCTTTTACTTGTGAAGAGGAAAAAGAGCATAAACTGCATTATCTGGATGTCTTGCTAAGTAGGAGAGAAGATGGGTCACTTGGGAGAATCATATTCACAGGGCGATACACACACTTTCATAGTTACGTGTCCATTAAATATGAAAGGAACGTTGTTAAAGGTCTTACGAGCAGAGCAAGAAAGATATGTACGGATGGCCTCTTACAAAAAGGAATTTGAATATATACTCATGAATTTCAGCAACAATTCGTCTATGTTAACATTCCCATCAGCTAAGATAAATGTATCATCGACATGTAGGTAATACATGTCAAACTCCTTGATGATGTCCTTCAATTTCCCGTTTTCAAGTTTTGAGAGAAAGAAGTCAGTTAATATTGGGTCTAATGATGATCGAGGACCATGACAGCAAGATTCAACTCAAAAGCAAGGAAGGACGTTCACTATTATTCAGTGCAACGCACAATCCTACAAACAACACGAGACAAGAGAAGAAGGAACATTTTCATTGACAACTACAAACAGTAATGGATAACATCCCAAATGGCGTCATCAAAATTCTCATGAGACATATGGCTGCACACCGAACTGGGAGCAGATGATACAGAAGGAGAATTGATCATGGGTCGAGAAGCAGACGCTCGTAGAAATGAATGAGAACAGATGACGATGTCAAAGTTGGAATTGAAATGGCCACATACGCCTTCATCAACCTGAAACCAGTTTGGAAATCTTCTGCACTCAATCAGAAAAAGCAACAATAATCGCATTTTCAACACAAATTTGAAGTCAGTCATTTCTTTTTATATGTGTCAGAAAATTTCAGTACGCTTCACAAAAAGAATTTCCAACAAGTTATAAACTGTTACTAACTGCTGCCTCTACTGGCTCCATACTGAAGATCAGATGGCTGGCTCGAGAGGACTAGCAACAAAAAAACTCTGGGAACAAACCAACAAGCAAGAGCCAATTGCTCAACAAATATGTAGGAGAAAGTGGAGATGGATCGGGTATATATTTAAGGCGGCCGTCGAATGACATCACTAGCCAGGCCGTTGAGTGCAATTCAAATAGGTATTGACGAGTGGGTCATTGACGCCTGGATGACATGGAGGAGATCGTCTGGCAGGGAGGAGGAGATGAGAGATTTTGGGCAATCGTGGGCTCAGCCGAAGAGGAGAAAGTGGAGATGTGTTATCGAAACCCTATGTTCCACACGATACCCAAGAGAATAATAATAATATTAAGGTAGTGAAAGATGTATCACGCTGTCTTTCTGTAGACAGAGGCTGGGTCGAAAACTTTCGGTAGCAAAGATTTCTGTCAGATGAAGTAACCAGGATTTTCTCTCTCTCTCTATATATATATATATTACTTAGGAATCTGGTCTCTGAGATCACTTTGATATCTTTCATGTAGAGACTTCGTGATATGCTCAGAAAGATGTAGTAGATGCTGTCCTCTGTCACACTATCTTTCAAATATGTCTTTTCTTTCTTTGTTTAAACCAATCAAAGGAAGTCATTGTATGAAGTTTGACATTCATATCCATTTTACTGAACAATCCATTGATGATACTGGTCCAACATGAGACAAGCCGTCATATCATGGGTTAACCTTATGTCATTCAGAAATATGTAACCACGTGAACTGCTGATTTGGGGACTAAGGTTTTCCAACTTATCAAACTGTCTGATAACAAATCGTATAATGATCTATTACTCTGCTATCTTAATCTCATTGACAGACTAATTTATCTGGATGAATCATTCGCCTCTGATTCAAAAATTCAAATCTATCGAATAGTTTTAAATTGTCGTGTTTTTAGGTTAAGTTGTGCAGCTCCATTTGTTGACTGTTAGCAGTCATGGTAGATCTACGACTCACTGATTTTTGAATTCATCAAGAAAACATAGTGAACTCAAACTTTCCGTTAATTAAAAATGATACACTCCACTAAGCTACATCAAGAGGAAAGTTGTTCTGATTATTACACCCCGGGTAGTATACATTATAATAATGAAATGGCTATATTGTATTCAATTCAGTGACTATCAGAGGAAGAAATTTCCAGGTGGTCAGTTTCTTCACTTTATATACTGGCGGCGTGGATGTGGATGTCAGAGGCAGAATCTGGAGTGGAAGATAAAACATCATCAGTTTGACATAAGTTTGAAAATCTTCTGTACTCAAAAATAAAAAACAAACTTCGGATTTCCAACACAAATGCTAAGTCTTCTTCTCCATATGGATCACAGGCTTGACTTGTGCGTCATGAAGAACACTGCCAGCAGGTCGCAAACCTTCACCAACAACCACCTCCTCCGCCTCCATACTGAAAATCCGATGGCCGGAACAAATTAGGTGACCATCGAATGACGTCCCACTCCAGGCCATAGCTGGAGTGATACTCGAATGAGAAAAGAAGATTTGGGTATGGGTCCGAGGATGACATGGAGGAAATCGTATGGGAAGAAGATTAGAGATCATAGTCAATCGTGAGGCCAACTGAAGAGGACTGTAGAGAATAGGACAAAGTGGAGATGTGCTGCTGAAGTCTTATATTCCACTCAGGACCCAAGAGAATAGTAATATAACAAATAATACTGTCAAGTATTGGTTTTGTAGGGATTTTGTATAAATGATTGACGGATTTCATCATGAGCTGACATCAATCAGAGAACCATCTGCAAACCTGGGAGTAGTGAACGGCTGTTTCGTCCTGCTTCGGGATTCTTCGGCAATACTAACAAACAGAAATTAGAACTTAGGATATTCTGATGTCAGCTCATGATGAAATCCTCCAATCATTCATACAAAATCCCTACAAAACCAATACTTGAAAATTGATCTTATGCTTACTAGTGACTGGCCCTAACTGGTGTCCTAGTGTGAAACCGTGACCAGTAGAATGTAGCAACTTGTAGGTGGGGCAGTAGCTCATCGAAGAAAATATTGCGAAGTGGTCACAATATGGTCTACTAGCTCGCCTTGTAACCAGAAGGACATGTATTCGAACCTCAGTGGGTGCGTACTGCTAAAGAGTTCAAACCAAGACGAAACAGTTGTCCAGTTATCCCAGGTGGTTTCTCAATGGTTCTCCAACCGATGTCAGTTCATGATGAAATCCTCCAAACAATCAAATAAAATTGTATTTAATGCTACAGCGCTAATCATGTAACTCAGTACTTTTTAGCTGTCGTTAATAATGACAACCAATATTTTGGTGTTCAACTGATTGAATGTTAGGAAATATCTCCATGAATGACAGAGGATGCATGTAATGTATTACCGACATTTAAGACTCGCACAAAGTCTGGTTGAATCTTAGTGGCGTAGTCCTAGAGTTTACATCAACAGACTTGACAGTTCATTCATTAATTCATATTGATAATAAGAACAACGTTATTCCAGACAATATGTTAACCTACACTACATAGTTTCCAGAGTATTTAAGTTAAAAATATCTACTCTCTCTACAGAATCATGAAATAAAATGATATGTTTAGCAGTACATTATACAAGACTGTGTTGTTCTATCTAAATCAGTAGCCAAATGTCTATGATACTTTTTTCTTCGTTTCTGCCATGAGGTACTTTGCATTATAGTAAACTAAAACCTTACGCGAGTTCATGTAGCGATCCATAAACTCAGTTAGATGATTAAAACAACAATAATAAATAGAGATGACTTTATGCATTATACAGGATGAAAATTTAGGTGACCCACTGATTTATGCAGACCGCCAAAGAACCACACTGTTGAAAAGTCAAAGGCTACGAAAGAGGGCTTATCTAACCTACCTCACCTACTCGTGTTAAGTGTTATTCTTATTCTAAAGTTTTATCTCGACTAATATCCTTCAAAGGATAAGTTAACTTACCCAAAACACCATTTAGTGCCTGGAGAACTTCCTATTCGTAACTGTGCCATGCTTTGAAGATTACTATATTAGGTAGGAGACATACAAACTCTCATAGTTTACTGTCTAATCTTGAGTCGGGATAAAAAAGGAATGAATTGGGGTAGAGCTAGCGACTCTACGCTGCAGAATAAATCCAATCGCTACCAAAACTTCAAAACACAGTAAAAGTACTTTAAAAATACTTTCCTCTGCTAATATCTGAATGACTGAATAACGTGTACTAGTGAAAGCCTTCGGGTCAGGCATTCGAGAGTGACATGCAGGAGATAATTTGAGGCGGAAATGGAACCTTATGAACAGTCGTGGAGCCATCTGACTAAAGTGAGCCAGGTGAAATGAAAAAGCTCAGTTTGAACCTCTGTGTTCCACTAAGACCCCAAGCAAATAATAATAAGTGAACTATTGTAAGCACTTTATGCCATAGTGGTTAAAATCTGAATACAATTCAACGTAATCTTCTAATATTTCAATCATAATACATGCTGAACTTATAAATATACAGTTGACTTCTTCACATTTTCATAATAAGGTTAGTGTCTGGTTATACACAATGTACGTAAATGTCATTCTGCTTATACAACCAAGGTAAATCAATACAACATGCTTTACTGGTTATAAGTACAATTATTGATTGAATTTATTGACCTTTCATTAATATTTCTAGCTATACATATATGTGGTGAATTGGTGATGAAGATACAATTATGTTATTCCTGCCTAATATTTCTTTTAATCCATTTGACTGAAAATCATCAAATTGATAATTATTTATCAAAAAAATGTAAAACACCAGAAGGAAATCTAATAATTAGTGAATTTGGGAAGTGTGGAAGTATAGTCAAGCTAAATAAACACCTGCTTAATGAAGATACCTTACATATACGTTATGATAATATTGAAGAAGTAAGTAGGTTCAAAGTGTTGTTATAAGTATTCAAGCATTTAGTTTATTTTCCAAAGGTTGGTTTGTGAGAATTAAATTTGTTTTTACGAGTTTGACCACGGATTGATATCAGTTAGAAAACCATTGAGAACCAGCCACAGGGAGTACTGGACAGCTGTTTCGTCCCACTAGTTTGGGCATCATCATCATCATCATCACCACTGGGGCTCAAACCCAGGACTTTCCGGTTACAAAGCAAGACATTGGTTGGTGGTTGAGTTAAATCACGAATTGGCAGAAGTTAGAATTCATGGGCCATTGGACCGAGTCTCGGTGGCTGAATGATATACGAGCTTGCCTTGTAACTGGAAGGTCCTGGGTTCGAACCTCAGGAGGTGAGTACGTCTAGTTTATATTCGATTTCAGTTTGAACTCCAAACACATGGTAAACAGATGAATATTATCAGCACTGAATCTATTGTTAGCAAATACAGATCCATAAAATTATATGATTAAAATAACCATTATCTGTAGAACTTTACTGGATAAAACCCGAAGTTTCAGGGGAAATAAAGAAATTTTAGACCAAGTTAAACTTTAAGCACCACTAACTATCAAACAGCGAATGATCTTGAATGTCTCAATGAGTTTCATCTACGTGAGTTGAAGGTTCTATTCCACTTGACTCAAATGTCAGGTAAAGTGAGCGGATGATTTAAAAATTTTGTAGGGATATTTTTCGCCAGGTTCCATTTGTCCTGGGCTAGCCATTAGATAGATTCCTAGTGACTTAATGGTCTACGAGCTAGCTCTTCTTGTAACCAGAAGGTCCAAGGTTCGAACCCAGATGGATGCATACTTCTGAAGAGTCCCAAACAAGTGCAACGAAACAGCTGTTCAGTACTCTCAGGTCTTCCAGTGGTTCTCTAACTGATGTCAGTTCATGATTTGAAATTCTCCAGCCAAACAAATCTGAATACTTTGGTGATTAGTACAGTTCTCTGCTATGTGAACAAGTTACCCTTACTATTGTCTGCATGTACAATAAGGAATTATTTTGTAGTATTACTTCAGACTAATTATCTATCAATTAACAATTTCCCACTGACTAAAATAATCCACTTTTTTCTATTTATATTTAATTAGTAGTGTATAGTTTGCCTTTTAACAATATAATGAATGTTTTTCCTTGTGATTTTTTTCAAGCTTAACTTACAATTATTTATTTGCTTTAGTTTAATTAGTTCACACTGTTTTTTGGTTGATTGTGCTGCAGTGAAATGCTGTACCTCTGTTGATATATATTTTTTCCTATTTCTGAAGCTTTGACAATGATCAAGGTTTAACGTGTCGTTGTATCAGTGGATTAGAACTATCAGTGGCATCCAGGATGCACATTCAGTCCTATCTATGATTTGTTAGTGACAGATGAAGGGTTTGAGACTCAGTAGGAACGCCATTACTCACTAGCGATTGCAGGTACATCTGACTGGCTAGTCCTAAACAGGACTACCACTCTAATCTTATCTGACCCACCTTACTGAATGATGAGGATCCTGACGACACTTGAAAGCACCACCGATCTATTACGCCATGAGAACCAAATTCTTGTGCAACCGGTAGTGACTGTTATTTATTACAATTAGTTCATGCTGAATTCTTTATTGGTTGATTTTACTGAACTAAAATACTTGGTCTATACTGACATTTCGTTTCCTAATAGAAAATCTTCCAAAAACTTTGTAAACACGGAAGTTTAACAGATTTTAGAAGACTTTACTTAACTTTAAAGCTACTAATCTATTTGTACCTGCAAAATGTACATATTTAATGAATCAATAATTATTAAAATCATCAGAAAGGATATTGGTTAGAAATCTGTTGAAAAGCAGAAAGTACTGAGCATCTGTTTCATCCTGGTTTCTCTCATAAATTCTTACTTCTGTCAGTTTGTGATAGATAGCCCTATTTCCAGACAACATCGGGGAGTAGCTTTCCCTACATTCAACTTGATGCATCTTATCGATAGCAACTTCTCAACATAATTCCAAGAAGTTCGTCCAGTAGTCGGTGAGTAGTCATCAGTGAATTAATTTGCAAAAGTTTTGGTTCATAGGGATTTGATCGATTGCATCACAAAACGACATCGGTTAGGGACAGCTGTTTCAACCATAGTTCGTGACACTTCAGCAGTGAGCCCATGCGAGTGCGTGAGGGATGGGATCTGAGATTATCTGACAGCATATTGATCCCTGCCACCATCCTGTTGTCTACTTTGAATATCAACACTTGTGACTTTTAATTTTACTATACTGTACCTTATAAAACAGCACTTGTGAATTTATTTCACGAGGAAATTTAACATCTTTTTCACCATGTCTTTTGAAATGAACTGAACATTTGATGATATATTAGATAGTTGGAGGCAATTGGCAGGAAGCCTTGGACCTAGGTTTCGTGCTAGTTGGCACTCGTCAGCAAGACGTATCTGCAACCTTGAAGGAACTCATGTCCCTTCTGAGATTCGAACCCGCGTCACCCAGTGCTGCAGTCAGAGACGTTACCACTGAGCTATTCGGGCTTGCGACTGACCTCCTGTAGGACTATAGTGAGCATTTTGATTGGACACTGTTAACTAGTGTGACAAGTCTAGTCCTCTCTTTGGTGCAGACTGAATTCTCTCAGTCAGGTTTGCAATGTGGCCACTATTCTAGGTAGCGCGCCATCACGGCGCACATTGATTTTTGATGATATTAGATCGTTAGAGGCAATCGACAGGAAGCCTTGGACCTAGTTACTAGTGTCCAATCTAAATATTCACTATAGTCCTACAGGAGGTCAGTCGCGAGCCCGAATAGCTCAGTGGTAACGTCTCTGACTGCAGCACTGGGTGACGCGGGTTCGAATCTCAGAAGGGACATGAGTTCCTTCAAGGTTGCAGATACGCCTTGCTGACGAGTGCCAACTAGCACGAAACCTAGGTCCAAGGCTTCCCGTGGCCGATTGCCTCCAACTATCTAATATATCATCAGATCAATGGGCACCGTGATGGCGAGCTACCTAGAATAGTGGCCACATCGCAATAGCTGACTGATAGAATTCAGTCTGCACCAAAGAAAGGACTAGACACGTTACACTAGTTACTGGAGTCCAATCAAAATGAAGTGAACATTGTCTACGGAAAATCTTGTAAAAGTTTATGCTTTTAGTAGTATGATTTAATGATCAGTGGACAGTCATGTATTTCAAGACTATTTAAGGACATCTGCGAACGGTTCTATATACACCTTCATATTTTACGACAAGTCTGTCATCAACACTCGGTTGCGGTAGATTTCAAAACCTCACACATTTCTACCTTAAATCAAATACAAAGTTTTCTCAAGAAATTTAAATTCTCAGTTTGCGAACTAATTTGCAATTTAAGGGGTTCAAGGGGCGACATTTCACCCCAATTGATCTATTCAAAGCGAAATCGTTCATATCTAAGTATGTGATCCACTTGACCCCATAAGTGGTAATCAATAAAGCAGACATGTTTACACAGAATTATATACTACTAATTGACTGAGATGAGTAGCTACATACCGCTCATATAGACCAGTGGTGCTTGATAAAGAAGAAATATTCGACTTACAACACAGTAGTTTCTTTTTTTTATAGAAAATTAAAGATTGAAACACTTCACCTTTTTTTACCACTAAATAATATTTACTTACAATAAATTGTATGTTTGTCTAAGATGTGTGTGTGTGTGAGGTAGAAATAAAGAAAGAAAAAACTGATTGTTTGATTGTTTTTCTTATCTAGTTCTACCAAATATGAAATTAAGCATAGATGGTTTTCAGTGATATTTCATCTCCTATGAAACTTACATTTCCATTACGTACAGCAGTCACGATATCTGAAAATCAATCAAATGGGATTTGTGCTGCTTAGTTATTCACTGTTTTCTAGTTTACCGATATGTAGCGTGACTAACGAGAACGAAATATATGTAAACATATAACAGTTTGATAGTAATCAGAAGAAAGTAAGTCATCAAGTGCTGTACAGCTGATCATCTATCTGGGCTAGGTGAAAAAGTGAAGACAGTCTAGTTGAAGGCTAAGGATCAGTAGCAGGAGGATGAGTCTTGGAAGCCCGGTAAAAATCACAGTGACTCACAATAATTCCTAGCTACTACAATGAACTTACCGTTGCAAGTACGGATGATATATGTTTGATGTCATGCAAAGTCGAAGACTTATGAGCGAAAACCGACAAACTGGTTGAAGAAGCAGCCGGCGAAGACAGGACTCCAGGTGAACACAGACAAGACGAAGGTTATGAAAATAACCAACCAACAATCCAACAACAACAGCAACATCCAGCGTCAATCACCATCAACGGGAGGGATTTGATAGAGGTTACTTCATTCACTAAACTAGCAGTGAGCATTGTCTCAACTACAGGAGGAACGGACGAGGATGTCAAATCGAGGGAGAATTGGGAAGGCGAGAAACACATTCATCAACCTGAAACCAATCTGCAAATCTTCATCACTCAGTACCAACAACAAAATTCAGTTGGATTTTCAATACAAACGTCAAGTCACTTCTTCTATACGGATCAGAAACTCGGCCTGTTGCACACCTTTATCAACAACTGTCTTTGCTCGATACTGCAGATCAGATGGCCGGGCCGGAAAGAATCACCAACAAGAAACTATGGGAACAAACAAAACAAGAACCAATCGCCAATAAGCAAATATGCAGGAGAAAGTGGAGATGGATTGGATACTCGCTAAGGAGACCGCTGGGTGACATCGCGCGTCAAGCCCTCAAGTTGAACCTGATAGGGAAGCGGCGAGTGGGACGTCGGTGCAAGGGTGACATGGAGGAGATCGTGTGAAGCGGAGTTGAAAGAGTATGGACTAACATGGATGCATGTGAAAAGTACATCAGAAGACAGGAGCATGTGGAGACGTGCAGTTGAAGCCCTATGTTCTACTAGGAACCCAAGGGAACAATAATAATAA